TTTGGTGGTTAACAATTTTTTGGAGTTTGTGAAAGAACATATAAGTACAAATCTTTAACGTAAAGTTTTACTTTAGCAGGATAGAAAATTTCTTATCAGAACATTTTCTTTTATGAGAATGTGAAACTTTTAATACAAGTATAATGGTTATGATAACGTGAATAAAAGTCAAATTTTATATTAATATTGAATAAAAGTATAAGATTTTCTGTAATTAGAAGAACTTTCAAGGAATTTTATTTTTAATTAAGTGCTCTCCAAATAGCTAATAAAATTTAAAAAAAATTTGTCTCATTTTTGCCTTTCAACATTAGCCATAATTTTGACCTTCTTTTTTAATATTTTTCAACCCCAAGTGGCCTAAAAAAAAAATGAATGAATTACTTTTAGATACCATGAATGTTGTCCCATTGACGTTGGTTTGACGTAGGCTTGAAAAATACTCGTTAGTTCGATTGTTCCGACTGGTTCCGTTTCATAGCTGATTTAAATTTAGAGTAGCCAATAATTTTGTACTCAACAGCTCTTATTTTTTTTTTTTGTTGCTTCTCCAAGTTTCATAAATTTACCTCTTGACATCGGAATAGTAATTGTGATTTTATGTTCAAAATAAAAATAATGATATTTGGACAAATGAGATATTTGTATATTTCTGAAAATTGTTTCAACAGCATGAACATTGTAATTTATCTTATTTCATAAAATAGCCCAAGCTCGTAAAGATATTCGTAACAATTCATTTTATAGCTGTCTGTACAATGTGTTCCATTTATCATAGTCGTTGTAAGTAATTGTCTATGTTCCTCCAAGTGACCGCCAAAAAAAAAGTTTCTCGCCGAAAATCTGTTTTTATAAATCAAACTGAAGCTTCCATTGAAATTTGAGACTCCAATTAAACGTTCGATCTTTGAGCATTAAATAAATCATATTTTAAGAAAGTCTGAAAAAAAAACATAAATCTGTTTTAAATAAATATTGAAATAGTTACTTTTCAACTACTAGACCAGTAAGAATAATTTAAACTTTGAAAGAAAAAAATTTGCCAATAACTGATAATGCAAGAACAAAAGGAACACTCTGTACATATAGTTCCTTGACACCAATTGGTATCGATGAATTAATCAATTTTTATATACAAAATAATGAATTGATTTTTTGTCAGTTTTCCACTTTGATAAATAAATAATATTATTTTGTTACAGTCGCGGTGGTGATAGCGTTTTTCATTTGCTGGGCGCCATTTCACTTGCAACGGCTGATCGCCATTTATGGGACGAACAAAGAGGATCACATCTCCTCTAACAGCAAGTGGATCGAATTCCTTTATCTCCTTATGACCTACATATCCGGTGTTCTTTATTACGTATCGACGACGATTAACCCTATTCTGTACAACATCATGTCGAACAAATTCCGTGTAGCGTTCATGGTAAGTAACAATGTCCCTTCTTTACTCTAATCCAAATAATTTGAGGTTAGGTCTGGGTTAATGAACTTTGATAAGACTAGACTTTGGTAAGACTAGTTCTTCCAATAGAAACAATTATTGAAAGAGATATACGACACTTCTTTTTTATACTGCAATATTTGAAAGAACTTCTAATAATAAAAAACACATTGAATTTCGCTTTAATGACTCCATAGGAATAGTTTAACGCCTTCTATAAAGATTTACTTCGCTGCTTAAAATACGTCATTCAAAATACACTTTATCCAACGCCATACAATAAAGCTAAAACAGTACTCTGTAATTCACACCAACTAGAAACACATTTGAACCTCCCGCACGTCGCTCGATAACCATCATTCACGCTCAACATTCCGGTATTTCTAACACGTGTTACCCTTTAATAGACTCGCCACTTTCCTTAATCAACCACCCCATACGAATCAATTAACACAACCAACCCACCTAACCTTTCATCATACAAACACACACTCACCCAGATCAGTGAGCACAGTCAACCAAGTTTCGCCAATCGAAAGACCACCTTTCAATCATCCACCTACGCTTTGTTATTGCCCCGACATCTCGCACAAACTTTATCCGGAAACTCAGTTTCTCAGCCTCGAGATCTTATTTTGTTTTCACAGGAAACATTGTCGAGAAGCTGCAGAATTCCTGGTTTGGGGATTCACAACGAGCAACGTTCCTATTCTAGTTTATCCCGGTCGCAACAGAGGGCAATAGGAGGGTCGAGGACCGCGGGAACGGCCGGGACAGGAATTGTCCACGAAAGTACCGACTGCTCCGGAAATTCTGGCCACGAGGACAGTCCCAAACAGACAACGTTGCCCACAAATCAATTGGAGATGGATTCCGCGCGAAATATCGTCAAGAAGAAAGACAACGAGGATATTGGGCGACTGGAGATCATTCCCAAGGAAGTTAATGGTAAAAAAGATGTTTGTTTGAAGAATTCAAGAAGATCGAGACCGACTAAATATACCACGGTAAAACTTTCAAATGTGGACGAGTCCGGAAAGAAGTGGTGGGGGTTGCTAAAGTGGTTTCCTGGTTTGAAGTCGCTGAAACTTGCCGGAAGAAATACTGTCCCGGAAAACCATATTTTGAAGAGGCCAGAGCTTTGCAGGGAAGAGATTTCAATGACGATGTGGAACGAGGCGAACGAACAGCAGCCTGTTTGAACACTAGGAACAGTTGTAAGGAACAAAGGACTGATTTGAAAGAGATGTTTGTAGTTAGGAGTGATTTTGATGAGGTAGAGTGAAATAAAGTGTTAAAGTTTGCGATATAAGACATCGTGAAAGATGAAGAGGATTAGCTCAGAATGAAATTTTAAGGTTATAAGCGAATGCTATTGATTTGCGTATCAGCGAAGGTGATGGCGTTTGGAATTTGTGTATGATAGAATTTTTTTAGTATAATTGAGGAAATGATTGAAGTGTGATGAATAAATATTGTGAATTTTGATGTTATATGACAAAGTGAAATTTTAAGACGAATTGATATATTGAATAAAGTGAGTGAGATTCTTTTTAAAGAGGTAGTATGAGTGAATTTTACATGACAGTAACACCATGTGATGTTATGTGGTACAAAAATAATATTGCTAACTGAGCTGATGTTCTGAGAAAAATGATAAGACAGTTGTGTTGTAGTACACGAAATGTGATGCATAAATAAAATAAGAATCTCGATCGTCATTTTCCAAGTAGTACCAGTTAAAGTATACCTATATTTCGACTTTAAGCAGACATAACCTAACCTATTCCTATTTTTATTTCACATAACTATTTAAATTTTAGCCTAATTGAATTCAGTGCAACAGTAAAAGGAGAATACTAAATAATGATTGTTTTCATCAAATTTATTACTCAGCTCAGTTAGCCCCCCAAGAAATCTAAATCTTTGCAAACTTTGTACCTTTGTACTTACACATAAAAACAAGTAGCTTAATTCTCCTATTTCCTTCTACGTTTTATTATATTTTACTACGTTTTATTGTATTTATTCTAATCTAAAAGAGGAATTATTACTACTAAAGTAGGCGACAAATTCGACCTATTACAGGCGCAGAATGACCTCTGCCGCCAAAATGTTCGCAACATTTTTACGAAGGTCGAGGTGGACTCGCTAATCCAGACGAATCGCGAGGAATCACGAGCCCCGTAGAGTTTACATTAAAACTTTTATCAGTGATATGAGGGTTTAACTCGGACCGTTTTGAACATCAAGAAGACTGATCCTTCTAATTACACTTTTCACGAACGCGAAACCGCGTTCGCCGCTGGTCGATTATCGACCACAGAAGCTTCCTGGATGTTCTGCGTTATCGATTCGAGATAAATCTCGGACGACTATAAATAGACGAAGTTTATTTCGTTTATGATGTGAAAAAAATTTGACTAAATGTTAGAAAGCGTGTTGTGGTTACAAATTGCGATTAAATTGTCCATTTTTTTTTTTTTGGTTCTTATGATACGACTGATTCCTAAATAAAATATGTATGTATTTCGTACTCATGGAATAAACTATCAAATTTAATTGTTTTTTAAATAAAGAATAGTACGATGTTTTGTTAGGTTAAGAGAGAAATTGTGAATTTTATTTAACGAATGTTATATATGTGTTTGTACAATTGTATAAATTAAATATAAATCGACATACATCAATTCATATACAGTTAGAATATGGGATAAATTCGAGGGGCATAAATAAAAAGAATGCGTAGATCGTGGCCATACATAAATTGTTTTCGAGATGTACTTCTGTCAGGTTTGCGGTGATCGAGATTCATCACAAATACGTTGAAAAACGTGTCGATAATACACTTATCCCCCATTCTTGAATCGTAGAAACTTGAAATAACAAAACCCTTGTCCTGTTACAACGAGAAAAGAAAGAAATAAATATCGGAACAATATTGAAAGTTGTACATTGCGGGGAAAAAAAATAAAGCATCGAAAGTAATTCGTGGAAGTTCCCATTAGTGATATTAATAACACCTCTCGTCATAATTTCACTACGGTACAAGGTACTTATGTTAATAATAATATTCAAATCAATATGACACACTTTTTAACTAATTAAAATTAGCATATTTACAATTGGAAAGTAACCTTAACATTCTTGAATAAAATTTGTTTATGATTATATCTTTTTGTTTATTGCTAGTAGCTAATAAAAATTTATAATTGTATTTCGCAATGAAGAGAACCCATTATCAATCAATCTTTTAAGTTGAATTGTTAATATGCAAATGAATGAAATTTGTTAAATTTTAGCGTGAATTTATCGTAAAGAACGTTCAATGTCTCTGTATGTTACTAACTTAAAAAAAGTATAAATAAGAGGAGTGACAATAGAGAATTGTCAGAGTTGTTAATGCCATAGAAATCGTCGCTATATTAGAATACACGCGGTCCATTTAACAACAAAATTTGAATTTTCAGAATGTGATACTATTTATTGTGTAATTGTTAGAATTGTACAGATTGTACGTTATTAACTCGAAAGTAGTTAACTACTTAGTTCCAGTATGTATATCCTGTTTGTGTTGTTTGTAAGTCGATGTATTTTCAGTAATAATATTTTTGATAATTATAGAACGTGGTTGTTATTTACTGTATTACAGATCTATCCCTACTTTTTAACAATTGAGATAAATATAAGATAAATTTTATATTTATTTACAATTTTTTAAATCAAAAAACGGTTTTTTCTAAACAAAAAAATATATATTTCGCGCCATTAGACTGCTGCATCACCTAGCGACAGTTCTATGAAACATCCAACTAAAGAAAATAATTATCCTATCTAGAAATTGTATAACCATGGGTGCGAATGTCAACATTGACAACAATTGTACATAACCAAAACACAAACATTTATAGTTACAAAAACAACTGAATTAGTTAGTTTATAGTGTAATAAAAGATGCCACCAAAACCTAGAACGGTATATCATTTGAATTTTTCTTTATAGTTATTTTAAATATTAAGTATGACCGCGTATTTCATTAATTCTAACCTATATTATATAATTTGAAATAATACTTTCAGACTGTTAAAAAACCAACAATAAATAAAAGAAATGCAGAACCACCGAAAGTGGCAAATTCGTCGAATGCTAATCCAGAAACCAGTAGTGGTTTGAGCCAGGAAGCTGAAGATCAATTTGAATTAGAATTATGCTGGTGTATTCAACAATTAGAAATGTGTCTGGCCACTGGAAAACTATCTGAGAAACAAGTACACGATTTAACTAAAAATATAAATATCTTGAGGAGTAATAATGCACCCTTGATAAAAAAAAGACAAATAATGCGTAACACTCTAGGCAATTACAGAGAAAAAATGGCTTTGGATGAACAGAAGCATGGCAAATCTGCATCTTCCATCAAATTTACACATACACCCACTCAGAATAAAAAGTGTACATTTTTGAAAAAAGCTGCTTGTACCTCTACAAATGATAAACAGTATTCAGACATTGATGCAGCATCTTCAAACACAAATGAGAACTCTATTGATATTGATAATGTACAAAATGCATTTAAATTTAATTTTCAAATTAAAGAATAAAAACACCTTTTGTAATTATGCAAAGTTGTAGTTATTCTTATTGCAATTCTAACCTCTTTTTCAACAAACTTTTATTTTTCATAGTTATTAACTTATATACAAAATTAACTAATTGTATTTTTAAATATTTACTTAAATATCATAAACAGAAACTAAGATAATATTAAAGATTGTTAATATACTTCATCCTAATTATATGAATTTACATTTATGTAATTTATTTTAGTCTATCGTAAAACATTTTCAAAATGATTTCTTACCGTATTAAAATATGTACACAGTTATAACAATGGTGTAAAAGAAAAGTATGGAATTATTTTTATCTTGACAAATCTATATTTGCAATAATAAGGGACATCATCAATATGGTCCTGTGGCGCAACGGATAACGCGTCTGACTACGGATCAGAAGATTCCAGGTTCGAATCCTGGCAGGATCGGGCAGTTTTTTTTCTATAAAACATTTTTAATCAATCAAACTGCTACAAATAAACAGTATCAACACAATATATAATAGTATACATTCTCGACATTATCTTCACGCAATTTTTGAAATTTTTCACTAGAATTTCAGAATTCTTTCGATTATTATGCCTTCCTAACACTATTCGAATGTAGTTTATTTAATTTATTAATGGAATATTATTTAAAAAATGAGTTTTGCAAAAGGAAGTGAATATAGTATGTAAGAGAGAAATGAAAGGATTGGAAAATGCTGTAAAACAATACTGGTATATTGTAACCTTTTGTAAAATACAGTTTGTACAATTATCTAACAATAAATCATTAATTTTTGGATAAATAATTGTATTTCTTCATTTCTCCTGATGTTGAAAGTCCTTTCCTTGATTCCTGTGGTGGCCTTAAAGTTCCATCATTAATTCACACAAAAAGAACATTAACTTTCAAATGTTAAATAAAAGTTATAAACAATCTCAAACTAATATACTGCGTGCAATTGTTAATTCTTCAACTAAAGTACTTGAAAATAAAATAGAAGCATTAAATAAATTAATAAACTAATAAACTAACCTGCTTTGGTACATTCTCGACGTTATTTTCTTGCAATTTTCGAAGTTTTCCGTTCGAATCTTGGAATTTATACGGATTTAGAGAATTCTGGCATGTCTGAGAAATGATTGACTTCGCTACTTGCTCCGATTCCGAAAATTTTCTAAAAATGCCCGAAGCTAATTAGTAATGTGAGTCGCTAATTTCACAGACGCTTGAAAAATTTCGAGGTACGAGATATGGTTGACTTTACTAATTAGCTTCGGTCCCGAAATTTTCTAAAATGTCTGGAGGCTAATTAATGAAGTTAACCATATCTCAGACATCGAAATTTTCGAAGCATCTGAGAAATTATTGACTTACACTACTATTATCTAGCTCCCAGAATTTTTAGAAAATTTTCGGAATCGGAGCAAGTAATGAAGTCAACAATTCCCAGACGCTCGAAAAATTTTCAGAATCTACAAGTAGCGTAAGTCAACCGTTTCTCAGACGTTCGAAATTTTTCGGTATCAGTGAGCTATTTTTGCGCAAGTTTCTTTTTTTGGTCGAATTTCACGATTTTTACGCGTTCCTAACGCTATCCGAACTTAGTTTACTTAATTTTTTAATGGAATATTACTTAAAGAATGAGTGTATTGCAAAAGGAAGTGAATGTGGGTAAGGAAGAAATGTATGGACTGTAAAATAATGTAAAACAACACTGGTATATTGTAAAAGCAGCAGATTCAGTATTACTGATATTTACTCTTTGTTTTAGTATCCATTGATATTTATCTTATTTTTTACATTTGTAAAAATTATACCCAAAAATGTCTAAAAGGAGACGAGAGCCTAATGAATATGTAGATGTGCAAAGCAGTGATGACGAATTTTGTATGAATTAGACTATTTTTATATCATTATATTTAATATATTTATATGCATTATATGCACAACAAATGCATTTATATATTTTTATTCAAAGACTATTTTGTTACCATATAAAGAGATTGCAATTGATGAATCTGTCATAAAATTCGAAGGTAGAATCAGTTTGATCACTTATAACCCCAAAAAACCAACGAAATGAGCAGACTCTAGCACCGGATACATATGAGCCGTTTAATGCGAAAGTGACGTAAGTCAAAAAAGGCGGTTTAAATTTGAATTTAGTTAAATTTAAAATTAAATTTTTTTTTACATCAACGTATTCTGCTCGATAAGAAGAGAAAAAATTTGAAAGGAGCCATATTCCGCAAACAAATAGTTTCCGAGATAAACGATAAACTTTTGCCACGATTTGATTGCGTAGAGTGTAGAGTTATACGCATAGTATAGACTAGTGACCTACGACCACATAGGATCTATATAGCCGCGGAGCAGACGCTCGGTATAATGGTGTGCGTAACCCTACACAAACGACTTCATTTGTTTCGGCCCTGCCTTAGTCAGTGCATTCTTTGTGTCCTTTAATCGTCGTTTGTATAGGGGCACGTACTCCATTATACAAGTCAAAGTAAGAATCCGAATATCACTGTAAAACATGCACAAAAAGCCGGGATTGCACATCGGGGATTGTTTTGAAATATACCATACCAAAGAAAACTATATGTGAATCAACATGAAATATCGAATACTAAGATGATAAATAATATGCGCATAGCTTAAACAAACTCGTTTGAAGTAATTTCAGTAATTGACTGAGCGCGTGTGATCAAAAAATAATTCCGACCAATACGACTACCATGCCTACGGAAAATATGACAGCAAAGAGTTAATATTGAAACAAGCATAATACTTTATTTGTAACGATGCTCTCGATCCTTCCACTTTGAACGCTGACGGCAGACTGAGCAGAACAATTCCTCTGATCTTTCTTATAACCCCCCCAAATAAAACTCTTCCAATGAAAAGCTGCATTATTTCTAATGTTCCTCTCGTTGAAATACCATTCGATTTAAAGTATGGAGCCTGTGACAACGTTTTCAAGCCCCGGTAACAATTATTTGGAATAATTGTTGCTAAGACATTTATTATGTAAATATAAATACAAACAAATTAAGTATTTTTAAGTAATTATGAATTCGTTCCAAGGAGGGTAATAACAAGGATCTTCAGATAAACTAAAAAACTGATTAAAAATGAAGAAATCAGTAAAGAAAACAATACTTCGTAGATCAATTATAAACACATGAAAATTGAAAAAAGATGTATGCATAAACTTGAAAAGTGACACAGTGTAGAGATTGAAATAGTTGACAATCGGGGCGTGTGCGGCAATTGAAAATTCATTATGTAAATAAATATTATGTTATGATATATTTAACAACCAGTAGTAACAAAGGTATCTCGGTCTCTCTTACGTAACTTATAGCAACAGAACAGCACTCTTTATCGTATGGTACAAGCTTGAATCCGTATATAACTATATATAATATATGCATATAGGATGTCTCAAAAGTCTATCGCACAATTTCATTAATCCGATCGAAACAACGAACAATACGAACACATGTCACCGAACAACAGTTATGCTCGGTTTTTCCGTTTCACCATAGAGAACAACCATATAGAAAGGAAAACACGACTGTTACAGGGTATATATATGTGTGTATATATATATATGTATATATTAGCATCGTTCGAAGCCAATAGAACTACGATATTCTTGTTTCGAGCATGTAAACATAACCTAAAGAAAACTCACGGACATATTGATATGGATGATTCGATCAATTTGTCGAATTGCCAAAAGAATGCACTAGACTCTGACGACGCCCTGTATAAATATACATCATCATCTGCGAAGGGTCTTTTTCGTTTCTCCTTTCTCTTTCCTCCTGTTTTCTCCTCTTTGTTAATTACTTTGTAATAACGTAACAGTGATATATGTATCTAGAAAAAATCAGTTCCTCCTCGGTACGGTCCAACTGATTCCAACTTATTAGAGACTTAATAATGACTCGTACGATCCCTAAATAGAACTTTCATTTTATTTTTGTTTCTGTTTGTCTTCTTCGTTACATGATTAACTGTTTTACGTCGGGAAATCACACACGATTCAGCAAACGCGCACACGCTTTCAACGTTTTTAATATCCTCCACGATAGTGTTTTAAGCGCGGTTTTCCTCGTACGTTCTTCTTTTTTTTTTTTACTTTTTTCTGGCTTTTTTTGTTTTTTGGTCTTTGCAGAGCGATTTTGCTTCGGTCGTCTTTGGTAGAAGCACACGTTTCCGTTTGCATCGCGAAACGCTTCATCCTCTTTTCGTAATCGATTTTTTAGAGAATTGTTTCTATTTTTTTTTTTTTGTTTATTTCTCGGTTGCGTCTCTCTGTTCCCTGAGTCGGTGTACAACCATTTCAGTCTTCGCCGTCCACTTTTTTCTTTCTCTCTTTCTTTTCGTTTAAATGTCGCACTTTTTTCACAGCAGTCAACATCCTCCTTTTCTTTGTTTCTCTCTCCTTCAGCTTAAAGACTAAGTGGATACACTGTGACTCACAGATTTAACTTAACTTATCAAAGCAGAAATGAAAATGAAGTATGTTTCAACAGGTCTGGAAGTTGCTTAAAGAATTATTAGATACTGGAAGATACACACCGGTTTTGGAAGAAATTTTTCTAATTCTAGTATGAAAAATGGAACTACAAGTGAAGTTTAAAAATGCAACTAGGTGATTCTAGATGAAAAATTGGGTGAAAAATGTAGAATGAGATTTTGACTAAGCTCTGCTTTTGTGGAAATTGATTTTGAAGATAGACATTTTAAAATATACTTTAATATCTACAATAAAATATATAAAATATTAAAACTTAATTTTAACAGACTATTAGTCATTTGGATTAATTTCGAGGTCTCTTTTCCATTGAAATCAGTGTGACCAGAGGTATTTATTTTATTCTTTTTTCTTTTTTCACGTGGAATCACCTAATTGTCATCACCTGTTCAATTCGTTTTAAATAAGTATATCGAACGTATCTGTGAGTCACTGCGTAATCAATCATTCAATAAAGACACTGAAAACTAACAAACTATCATCACGCACCGAAGAATCAACTTTCCCTCCGTATTTGAACGGTATTCATTTCAACTCCTCGCTGTGATAAATGAAACAATGTAACATAATATTGTTCATACAAGAAACCAATTTTCTGGAAAAATTATTTTCATTTCCTTCTTCATTATTGTAACCTTTAAACCAGCAAGGAGTAAAAACGTCACATTATTAAAAGCTCTACGAAAATAAATCTCGAAGCTTATCTCAGTTTTCTCAACGTTTTCGAATCTCTCACAAACTCTCTAACAAATTCACTCATATCACTCTCACTCTCTCTCTCTTTTTACAAACATTTCGATGCTTTCCATTCGTTAATAAATCGTTCCACAATCTCTTCGCCATTTTCAAGAAAAAAGAAAAAAAAGAAAAAAAAAAGAAAAGAAAAATTAATACATAGAGCGCGATATCCATACGAAACTAAGGAATTCGCGAGAAAAAACACATACGATATTATTATTATTATCGTGATAATACTCGATGATCTCGATCGACAAAAATCCTATCCTCTAACATCCTATAATATAGAATGTACACGTGTATATGGTTCTTGTGTGTCCACCGTGTGTATAAGTATAATATATTTTTAATAT